CCCGCGGGCAGCGGACAGGGTTATCCGCTGCCCACGCGCTCCGCGGCTTGGCTCTGCTTTGCCCCCCCGTCTAACTGGCGGTCAGTTTCAGCAGCGGCTGAATCTGGACGCCAGTTCCGACTTACATACAGATTCAACTTAAGAACAAACTTACAGTCCCTATCTTGTACGTAACCCGGGGACTGCCTGTACACAAAACCCTGATCTCCCTCCCCCCCCCCTTCAAAACCTGAGCAGATTTGCCTCACACTTCACTGGGAAAAATAAACAGTAAACCAAATTAATTGACTATAAAGATGGATATTAAGTGATAGACAAAAAGTCAAAGTAATTACCAAAATAAAATAAAATATAAACATGCACTTTAAACTCTGTTACCTGTTAGACTGGGTAACAACTAAATCAAACAGTCTTTCTCACCCCACTGAATATTGCAATCCATAGTATACAGGTTTGTCCCTTAAACCTGGGATAGTCCCCTCAGTTGGAGTTTTCTTTGGAGTGTCTTTATTGCATGCAGAAAGGTGGGTTAAGGAGAAAGGCCCAGCATGGGGCCACTATAGAATCATAGAATCATAGGACTGGAAGGGACCTCAAGAGGTCATCGAGTCCAGCCCCCTGCCCTCAAGGCAGGACCAAGCTCCGTCTACACCATGTTCTGTTTTATATCCTCAGTCCCATGTGCTAGGAGAATGAAAGCATGTCTATTAAAATTCTCTGAAGGGTAGTCTGTAACTTAAAAAACAGGTGGTCCTGTAACACCTGAGAGCCAAAGAAAAATATTTTAAAATCTCATATGCATTGATGATATACATATAGAGATAGAGAAATGAGTGTGGCTGATTATAACCTTTCCCTGGTAGCTCACATGGCATGCTTTATATGAAACACCACAATTATATACAGATGGGGAAGGTAAGGTGGTGGGGTGGGCTTCCAAGTTGGGTCAGGATGGCCAAAACTGGTCAGCCCCTGGGGCTGGAGGGATAAAGGTTATCCTGACAGTAAGATGGCAAGGCACTTTCCTCAGGAGAACAGGGTCATAGGTTCTAGGGTTATGGGTTCTAGTCTAGCCTTCACCAGGATGCCCAAAACAGGGTGCCTGCATAGCATAGAAATCACAAGGGTGTAAAGAGTTTCAGTGGCATGGCAAAGTTGCCAGCAATGGATATTATAAACTGAATATACAACTAGGCAATTTTGCCAGAGATTGCTCACTTGATTTGCAAGGAGACTACATCCCTTTGGGATCTGCCATGATGATGATGAAACACAGGCTTGTGATGAAGCTGCCATAAATTACCCTTTTGATTATAAATTATTGATTGATTGGGTGGTGGGGGGGGGGGGGAAGATCAGGGATAGGAAAATTGTCTTTTCATGTCTCCTGAAAGATTAGAGACATCTGAGTTCTATAAAACAATTAATAAAAGAACACTGCCATATTTTAAAAACAAGCCTTACTGTTTCTATTTTCTCACTTATTTTTAGGGGATTTTTAAAATTATAAACAGAGCTACTTGCTTTTTACCAATGGGAAAAATTACTAAGTTACCATAAGGAACCCATGGTTCACAGACAGTACTGCTAGGAGACAGCCAGATCTGTTTGCTTCTGTATTTTGATTCCTCCAAAGGAGAACCAAGAAGGATCCAGTTCTGCCTTTGATGTTTAATGCATATTGAAAAGGGAAACGTGTACTCCCTTAGCCTGTCATTTCAAAAGACACTAATTCTTGGGACTTGGGCTTGAAGATGCCTACAGCCCTCCCCTGCCAATCGCACTATTTCAGCGGGGCCAAGTTACAGGAACTTCTTCCCTCCACGTAACAATTCATTTTTTTCCAAATGACCGGAGCTGAAAAATTCTTTCTGTCCGTTCATTCAAGTAGCTGGCCGACCTCGTTTTTTTATGATCCTCCTTCAAAGAGACCTTGAGGACTCAAACCAAGACCCTACACACACTCACAAATGAGTGGGCGGAGAAGAGCCCGCCCGCCTTACTTTACACCCGGCCGTAGGGGCGAGATGAGAAATTGGACGTCACTGAAGGGTTGGGTTGTTGCGCCCTCCCTCCTCGCCGCGCCGCGCTGGGAGGGACGAGGGAGTCGGCCATCTTGGCTTCGCCGGGCTGCTCGCGAGCGGGGGAGGGACTGGCTGGGTTGGGGAAGTGGCCGCGTTTCGCTCCCCGCTCGTGGAGAGGCGAGAGGCAGAGCGCAGGGGGGTCCCACCGTTGCCCGGCCAGCAGCGTCTCTAGCGAGGAGGATGGCAGGGCGGCTCCCGGCGTGCGTGGTGGACTGCGGCACGGGG